GATAGGTTTCTAATGGTGCCAAAACAGAACATCTGATGACTCAGACGGGAGGTCTGGGCGGCATCCGGACAGCGAGGGCCGGGCTCAGGGCCGGGCTCGTTTTAACCAACAGTCACACACTTCGTGCTCTTCGACCTCCCAGAACTCCACTCCCCGGCCACATTTTGAATGCCCGGAGCCAATTGTAAGCCACTTCGTGCTCTTCGACTTCCCAGAACTCCATTCCCGGGCCACATTTTGGATGCCCGGAGCCAACTGTAGGCCACTTCGTGCTCTTCGACTTCCCAGAACTCCACTCCCGGGCTACATTTTGGATGCCCGGAGCCAACTGTAGGCCACTTCGTGCTCTTGGAATTCCTAGAATACCACTCCCGGAACACATTTTGAATGCCCGGAGCCAACTGTAGGCCACTTCGTGCTCTTCCATTTCCCAGAACTCCACTCCCGGGCCACATTTTGAATGCCCGGAGCCAACTGTACGCCACTTCGTGCTCTTCCATTTCCCAGACTTCCAAGACTCATCATATTCATCATCATCATCGTCCCCGTAGCCTTCTTGGCTGCAGCCCTGCTTTCGAACTGCGCAGCGCCTACTGCACACCTTAATGCCAGGACATGCTGATAGTTCGCGGTCTGGCGGTGGAGACTCAGGTCTTATGGGTCCGTGCCCATACTACTACTACTACTACTACTACTACTACTACTACTACTACTACTACTACTACTACTACTACTACTACTACTACTACTACTACTACTACTACTACTACTACTACTACTACTACTACTACTACTACTACTACTACTACTACTACTACTACTACTACTACTACTACTACTACTACTACTACTACTACTACTACTACTACTACTACTACTACTACTACTACTACTACTACTACTACTACTACTACTACTACTACTACTACTACTACTACTACTACTACTACTACTACTAACTACTACTACTACTACTACTACTACTACTACTACTACTACTACTACTACTACTACGACTACTACTATTACTACTACTACTACTACTACGACACTACTACTACTACTACTACTACTACTACTACTACTACTACTACTACTACACTACGACTACGACTACTACTACTACTACTACTACTACTACTACTACTACTACTACTACCACTAACTACTACTACTACTACTACTACTACTACTACTACTACTACTACTACTACTACTACTACTACTACTACTACTACTACTACTACTACTACTACTACTACTACTACTACTACTACTACTACTACTACTACTACTACTACTACGACATCACACTACATCCTTTCATGGGAGTGCCTATTTTGGAACTACACTCATTGATGCAAGTGTGTCGTTTGAGGCTCAACCCGTTGATAGCAGTGTCTCGTTTGGAATCACATCCGTTGATAGCAGTGTCTTGTTTAGACCTCAATGCATTTATACAAAAATCTCATTTGGAGATACCGTTATCAAAAGCAGTGATTCTACTGCTACTACCACTGCTCCCATCACTCCTACTCGTTCACTCCACACACTACAACTACTACTTCACTGTTACCACTACTACCATCACTACTACTTCTACTGCTACTAGTACTGTTACTATTACTGCTGCTGCTGCTGCTGCTGCTGCTGCTGCTGCTGCTGTTGCTGCTGCTAATGTAGCTATTGCTACTGCAACTACTGGCAGTGCCACTGCGACTGCCGCTGATGTTGCCACTGCGACTGCCACTGCGAATCCGAATGCGACTGCGAGAACACCAGAATTCTACAACAGCACTCTTACATGAATACCACAGGCAATGTTTCCAGCTATGCTTCTACACATCGTTGTTAGGTTGCTTTGCCGGGATAATTTTTTGATGGCGGCGGCCAGGACTCCGCTGGCATTGAAGGGGTCGGGGCAGAAGACACCTACCTGGGGCGGGGATGGCGCGCCCCCCACCCTGGGGGGCACCGCGGCAATCCTCGGCGCCAAAGCAGCCGACGTCCGTCGCCGCTTGGGCGGGGGGGGGGCGCGGAGGAGCAACAGTGGGCGGCGGGGGGCGCCTGTCGCGACGCCCATCGGCACTGCCTTGCGGGCGGGCCACTGCAGTCTCGGCGGGGCGCAAGGCGGGTTGCCGGGCGCCGCCGCGCCTGGGCTGCGGAGCGCGATCCACCTACGTAGGACAGCGCGCCCGAGCGCCGATTTCCGGCCGCGGCGACGAGGGGCGCTCGGGGCCTGGGGCGCCCGCGTCGGCGCCACTCCGTCCTACTAGCCATCCGCGGAGGCGAGGAGGGCCCTCTCCCCGCACCCGCAACCCCAGCGCCGCCACTCACCCAGGCAGCGGCGTCGCCAAACAAAAACCCGAGGACCACAGGCGCGCGCCCTTCCTGAGCCCAGCGGGGCCCCGGAGAAAAGGGGCCGGGCCCGGCTGCTGTCCGCCGGGCCCGGGACGGCGCAGCTGCGGCACAGGTGGCCCCTGCACAGGGTTCGCTTGTC